CTAATCTGTAGGCCCAATTGGAAATCATGTCTTTCGTCATAGCGCCGCTTCCTCAGGTGCCCTATTCTCGGGAGGCGCCGGTCTCAAGATTGATGCCATCATTTCCAGTCCCTAGCAATTCATGTCCTACATCGTACATCGAATTAACAGCAACCAAGTACTGCCTTTTCCAGTCAATCCTTCAGCCTTTTGTTTTCTACCTATCTACATAGTTTTGATTACCGACATCAATGAAATTCTATTCGCGCAAAGCAACTGCAAACATTGCGAACCCTGCTCAGGATATTTCTTCCAAGTGGCGACTCACCCCTTTTGAGTCCTAGTCTAGTCTACCCTTCTTGGATCTGCTTTCGGCCTGTTTACATTCATCTTCGCAACTAAATCTTAGAGAAGGGATCCTACTCTCCTTGGTGGTTACGCCTAAAGGTATTCTTGCAAATGAACCGATAACTCGACGGAAACGTTTTACCACGCGCCCAGTACTTCCTACCATGTCCGACACTGCTCCTCCGCCTTCGCCCGCACCTCCAACCCCTGCTGTCGTATCGAAACGGGCGAGCCCCTCGATACCTGTCATTCTCAACGAGGCTGGCCTCGATTCACCATCATTTCGTGCCTCGGCTGTTTTCTTTGCCGACCAGACTGACGCTGTAGAGCGTTGGCTGGAGGGTTATGTTAGGGCTGCCTCTAAGCTGACCCATGATATCCTTGGCCTAGAGGAGACAATCAATAATTACCTATCCAAGATCGTCCCGCCGCAAGGAATTGCCTCCATCGACCATGACTACACTGCACTCGCCCTCAAGCGGATTGGTGACGGGTCTAGGGAATGGTGGTCGCAGGTTCTGAATACCGCGAAGAAGATCGATGCTCTTTCCATCGATCCAGTCCGCGTCTTTCTCTCGAGCGATCTGCGCAATTTCAAAGAGACAAGACGAGCTTTAGAGCAGACCCAGAAGACGTTCGACTCGACCCTCGCTCGCTACGTTGGTCAGTCCAAAACCAAGGAACCTTCTGCCCTACGAGAAGATGCGTTTGCCGTGTTCGAGACACGTAAAGCCTACTTGAAGGCATCTCTTGACTTCTGTTTCTTCGCGCCACAGTTCCGCTTCAACCTCGACAAGTTGCTTGTACGAATTTCGACCGACGTCTGGCGTGAGATGAAAAGATCCCGTGATGCTGCAGGCGGTTTTGCTAAGTACGGCCATGAGATGGACAGGGTGAGAGGATGGTCGAAAGAAATGGAGTTGACCGAGTCCGTATTCAAGCGCGAGCTTCAGACCGCCAGGCGCGACATCGGAGAAAACGCCATCGCGAGCTCCAAACCTTCGCGCGAGATCGACGACTACAGCGCATCAACCGTGCCCTTCCTCGGCTCTAGGGGACCTTTGAATGTTTCCACGGAAGGAAAGGCCGCTGTCGTATCGGAGAAACAGGGCTGGCTTTTTTTGCGAACAGTTTACGGAAAGCCGTCGAGAACAAGCTGGATTCGGCGGTGGTTTTACTGCCGCGATGGCATCTTCGGATGGCTTGTCAATGGGCCGCAAGGCGTCTTGCAAGGCGACGAGATCGGTGTGCTGCTTTGCAATGCGAAGCCAGCTGTCCAGGAAGAACGCCGATTCTGCTTCGAAGTCAAGACGAAAAATCAAACCTCACTTTTGCAAGCAGAGACACAGGCACAATTGATCGAATGGCTTGAGGTTTTCGAGGTTGCTAAAAGGCGAGCTTTTGAAGCCAGCGTGGGTCGGGATACTTCACAGATGCCCGGTGGTGTTGATCCTGCCTTTTCAATTACGCCCCCATCTCTGCCTGAATTTTCGGCTAAGTCTCTCGATGCGCAAATCGACGAACCAACGGGTCCAGAGCGAGTAAATACACTCGCCGTTCCCGGTCCAGACGGCGGACTGATTTCAAGATCGAGCATGGATGTCAATGCGCCACCACCTAAACGCGCAGTGACGTCCCTCGCCCGTGAGGAGGGTGAGAGCGGACGCGAGCATGCAGCTAGAATTATGCAAAAGCTTGATCTACACCGGAAAGCGACCTTCACCTCGAGTGCTGACAGCATGGCAATGCCGCAATCAGGAGCAACCGGAGGTATCGCTAGCCTCATATCTGCTAGTCATGGTTTGTTGCCTGGGTATTCCGGATCTGCTGTGAACCAAGCCGCTAATATTAAACCATTGCCACCAGGGCAGTTTGTTCAGGGCCATGAGGAGGAACCCGGAAGTCTAGCACCTTTTACTCTGGCAAAACCCCCAGCTGCGACCGTTCTTAGTAGAACGGCTGTTGCCTATAGTGGTGAGAGGGCATTAACGGCCAATCCTAACCAACTGTTGCCGACCGCAATCATGGCGAACTACTGGGGAAGTAATGCCTGGGCCCAAGCGTACTCGACTAAGCCCAGTCGTGCTGATCTTTCGTCTGACGATCCATTCGGGCCCAATTCCTCCTCAATCAAGATGGTTACTCCCGAAAATGGGGAAAATGGGAGTGCTAAGAGCTCATCGGCAGTCTCACTTCACAAAAAGGCGACCAGTGCAGACGCAAGATTAAATGCTTCGAACGTCGCCCTCCCTTCTAAAGATAATCCTGTTCAAGAGACGTTCCCGCCAAACTATCCCACGGAGTTGAAGACGAATTCCGCACAATTCCGTCTCCTTTTCCCTAGCGTCCCCCAGGACGAGAAACTCGTCTTAGTTTTCCGTGCTGCGTGGAACAGTACTTCGGACGGCGACAAGAGTATGCCCCAAATGGCTGGCAACGGGCGGATTTACGTCACTTCGGACAATATGTACTTCTACGGGCATCAGATGGGTCTTGTGGTGGCCTACATGATCAGCCTCGATATAATCACAGAGGTCACGGCGGCGCCAGGCAGAGATTGCGATTTCATGTTCTTGCATTTGAGTCAGGAAGCCAGCGATATCGGTTATACGCGCATCACGATCAAGACCTTCCTCGAGGACTTGGATCTCTTGCATGCTCGCCTCAACTTTCTCATTGATGACTTGCAGGCCGAAGAGCCGATGGATGTTCCGGAGCTCATCAAAGCTCTCATTAACATGGAGAAAGAAGACTTTGATCAAAGAAGTCCGAGTGCTGGTAGCTGGGAGGAGGTTTCTGCCCATACTCCCATGGACGATGGGACCGCTGCTGGTAGGTCTGTTGGTATGAGGGGCGACTTTGCCTATAAGTCCAGGAAAGGAAGCTCTCGCAAGCCGTTCCCCAAATTCCAACTCCCAAAGCATCCCATTATCTACGAACCGGAAGACACACCGAACAAGGCGGCGGAGCGAACCTTCGAGATTAGTGCCAAGGCATGTTTCCACGTCTTATTCGGAGACAAGAGCTTCATATTTCCCAAGCTATACTTTGAGCGTAGAGCTCAGCAGATTACACAGGGACCGTGGCATTTGAATGAGGCTGGGAATATGCACCGCATATTTCACTTCAAAGTCACTTACAAAGACCGTCTTGGTCGTTCGCGCGAAGAAGACATCAAAGACCATCAAACCATCGAAATCTTCAGGGACCATGTCACATATGTAGTCACCCACGAGAAGACACCTTGGCACCTCCCACACTCGCAAGGCTTCAAGCTTGTTACCAAGCTTGTCATTACACATACTGCCAAGTCAAAGTGCAAGCTTGCCATCTTCACAAAGGTTGTCTGGTCGAAAGCACCAGCCTTGACAAAACAACTGGTCGAGCGCCAGGCCCTGGATGATGCTAGTCAGGATGCCGAGGAGTTAGCCGAAGTCGCTACGGATCAAGTGCGTCGATTAGGCCATCACAGCCGCACCAAGCGGGCGATACAAGTCTATGGCAATGTTGGACTGCAGTCCCAAGCTGTAGTCTTCTCTCCAAATGAGTCCAATTCCGCAAGGAAGCCACTTATCAATCCGCGAACCCTAGGCTCGATGCTCATTGAAACAGGCCGCTCATTTACTGACAGCGTTGCCTCTTCCCTCATGTTGTGGACCTTTGCTGGGTTGCGGAAGCTCTGGAAACTAGTCAATGCCCAGAGACTTCTCATCTTGCTGTTGGTGCTCAGCGTCCTTACTAATCTGACCATCTCATCGCAGAGCAGCTCAACATGGTGGAGTGAGCGACGTGCCGCTAATCTCATGAACCGACTGGGCGTTGGTCCGAATACTATGATGAGCAAGGCTATATATCTAGCCGATTTGGACAAGGCGGTCAAGAGCACAGCCATGGGCACCTCCTGGCCGCAAGATAGCTACTGGTAAGATATTTTTGCCGACGCTCTCTAGAAATATTGAATTCCAACTAATTAAATGCCTTTAGCTACTCCACATTCCAGGCTCTTACCAACAGCAGCAATATCGACGCTTCGCAGGAAGATGCTGCGGCTCCCTTGTCCACGTGGGGCAAGAGCCGCGAAACGGCCCGCCGGCTCCGGAATACTCGCCAGAGGCTCGGCGCTTACCGCCATGACCTCGTCGTAGCAATGCGCGTCGTGAACAGCGTGGAGTCCGAGATGTTGAAGCTAGAGTGGGAAAATTGGCTCACGGATGAGAACCATCGGTGCGAGAGAGTAGGCGCTGGGCTTCAGGAAGCGTCATCCAAGCTCAGTGGATCGGACGTCGACTTGACGATGGCCCAGCGCATGCAGAAGGTCTTTAAGGGCGGGGATAGCGACAAGGTGAAACTAGCGGAGAAGAGGGAGAGGTTGAAGCAGTGGTATGAGGAGTACTGTGGTAGTTGTAAGGTGGACCATCAAGCGCTCGTGCGCGGACGTGAACGTGAGGGATTCTCTACAGCTTCGGTGTGAAAAGTCAAGTCTCATCATGGCTTTTTCTTTAGACTTTGAGTATTATTACTATTCTTCTTTGTAGTAAATATTAGGGATGGATTATGAAGATTTGGTGGAGTAAACCCACACAGACACGATTCAGATATTCCAAATCGAACAAAAAAGAAAAGAAAAGAAAAAAAAAAAAAGAGAACCTCCAATCTTTCGCAACTTCATGATACTCCGAATCGGGGAATCGAACCCCGGGCTTGACGGCACATCGCAAGATTGTTTTCCTCGAAAGGAGACTTTCTTGTTGAGAGCGTCAAATGTTAGCCACTACACCAATTCGGAATTGTGTGAAAGAGAAGTGAGAAAGAAGGAGGAAGAGATTTATTTGGTTATGGTTGCCCACTAGCGGAATCGAACCGCTGATCTTGTCATGACATCTAGGTTTACTAGTGACACGCTATACCACTTAGCCAAGCGGGCTGTTTCCTTTCTTTCTTTTTGATGGAAGACAGCCGGTGGTATCACTGGTCATGTCATTCGGTCGCTTGTTAGGTAATAGTTAGATAATCGATAATGGGATCTGTTTGGCGATAACGGTAGGTAGGTAGATCAGGTACCTAGATAGATAGATAGATAGATAGGTACGGATCTGTAGATAGATAACAATGTGCGTAGGAGGCGCAACGCATGCCCTGTACAGTCTGTAAGTAATTACCTATCTATCTAATCTGTAAGCCGGAATGGGATCTATCGTTGGACCTTTTCCCTTCTGCTTGGTCCTTGTGATGCACGTGATAGGTGCCTTACCTACCGCTCGCTTTCCGGTTCTTGGATTACACTGCAGTCTTGTAGCCCCTAAACCCCCTATCTAGGTTAAGATCTTTTAGCTGGAATGGTATACGAGATGGAGCGGTTGGGTGGTTGTTTGCGATCGGGCTTGATTTGAGGCTAGGTACAGGTAAGTAATTGTGCAGACTCATCAATCACCCTTTCCGGATAATCGGCAGAAAGCAACATGCCTCTAACTAGGCGGGAGCAAAATTCAGGAGGCCGCGATCATGGGATTCCGTTCAGACATCTAGTTACCCGTTGCCCATGTTATTACGCCCTGCATTATGTATGTGTGTGCATGGTCATTTTCAGCGCCATCTATAAGCCACGATGCGCCTTGCCCAGATAAACGCACTACACGAATCAAATCTTCCCTTTTTTCTCCAGACCGCTCTGAACAATCATGCGACGTCTCAAATCGGAGACCGAGTCGAGTCCTTGTCAATATGAATCTACGTATTCCGTATCGGAGGATGTATTTCCGTGTTTGGGGTAAACCGGAACAGACGGCCTTTTCCCCCAATCGACTTCTCTGAAGAGGCGAATCAACCAGCTAATGGAAACCAAATGACAAAGTTAAATCTGTTAGTCCTCTAAGGTGCCGCCCGCAGGTGAGGTTGTTGGTGTCAGTACCCTCGGCGGGTGTGAAAATGGATTTGGAATTAGCAGGCAAGGTACTATGTAGTCATACTGATTATCCTGGACCCGATGCACATGGTGACAGTTACGATCTGGGGACAACGAATCGTATGTCCCCTTACTATCGCTGACACAAGGATGCTTCGGTAGAATGTGGAGGCTGGGTCACCCTTGATGCAACGGAACTAGGGCCGTGTAGGTAGGGCCCCAGCTCCGCGAATACGCCTTTGTTGTCACAAGAAAGCAGATCTGTGCTTGACTGTTGTGAGGTTTATCCCATAAGTTGACTGTTCTTTTTGAGAAAGAGCCAACTTTGAAACGGGACGCTACGTGAGGTAGGTAACTACATAGACGGCTGAGGGCACGTAGGTGGTTGTAGTATATTGCTCGCTTGAGTACGGTCGTAACACTATCACACATTGATACTCTGAAATCACAAACGTGTACCTGGGCAGAATGTTAGAGAGTCAAGGGGGTCAATATTACTGAGCTGCTTGTGCATAGGAATCATTGCAAGCACGGCCATGGAAAAAAAAAAGAAAGAAAGAAAAAAAAAACCCCATAATTCTTGATTTTTCTCCGATGTTGACCCCAGCAACAGAAACCGGAGACAGGTTGAATTTCTCAGACATGCCAGACAGCAGGAGGATCTAAGTCAAGGTCTGAAAACATGGCTGCAGATATATCTGTGGGTCCTGAGCGTTGAGACGATTCTCGAATGGAACTTTGTCAGCCATCCCTCGGTGGTGTCTTAGGTTGCCTGGTCAGACGTGGTGTCAAGGTATACCTACACCGTCTTAAGCGGGGTTTGCAAACCGTTGGATGGTTGGTCGCCGGTCAGAGACATACGAGAGACATAAGATGTCAGTGTCATCCCGAGGTGGGGGGGCTGGACATGGTGTCTCAGGAGGCAGGTTGATAGAAGCAACACAAAACTTGCAGGATCCATATGATGAACTGCTCGCCAATTGAGCAGCGTGCACCAGTAACTGACCGTGTGTTATTCACAGCTACCTAACCTAGTGTAGCATTTCTGTCCATTCTCATCGTGTGGCGAGATTTGAAGCGGTTAGCTGCCAAGCTGGGTAAATGTGGAATGTCTGCCAAGCGCCTTGGCCTTCGACCTCCACTGCCTGTGAGTACCGGTAGATCTCCCGTCATGGGTCTCTGCATGACCCCACGCACGAAAAAAAGGGCCGTCAAACACTCGCATGGCATGATAGGGGATAGTCACAACCAATCAGGTACGACCGGCGATGGTAATAAAGGAAATGCCGTGGACCTCGACGATCGCTTCCGAGTGCATACGCTAATTGAGTCGACGATGTTGCTGGCAGCACCTGGCTATGCGATTATGTAATTAGCAATCAGAATACATAGAATGTTCAGTGCCAGAGAGGATTCTGAGGCTCCTTCATCAGGATCTTGCCAAGGAAAGCCGTCGCGCCTCCACGAGGCATAAGCTTTGCCAAGCTGGCAGGATCAAAAGAGAACACTCTTTCTCATTTGAAGGCCAAGAATGAGAGAAGAGCCCACACATAGTGTGGAATAATAACAAATCGAGCTCATCGGTTGGATGTATGTATTCCTGGACAGATCGGGCGACTGGGCAAATCATGACTCGAGCCAAGCGTCTTGGCTATGAGATGCACGCACGCGCAGCCCGCTTATGCAACGATCAGACTCGCCGCGGAGATCAAGCGGACTGCGAATGCGATATGTAACTATTAGATAAAAGACGTGTACAAGTTTCGGATGCGTACCTGTTAGCTATGGGTCGGTAAGGGGAGACGAAAAAAAGGAAAAAATAGGCTACAGTAGCTCTGGAGGACCTCCCGAACCAAGTTGCCCAGATATCTAGATATCTGGCACATTGTCTGTCTTCAGGTATTCGACCTTTTTCGAGCCTTTTCGACCTTTTCCACACAGGTATGTGACCTCACTGCAGATGAATCCCGTCGCCAGGGGAATATGTCGGCTTCAAAAGTAACCTCATTCATTCATTTCCATCGACGGAGAGGAACGACTCGATATGGCCTTTGATAACCAAGTCGATACCGTGTTGATTGATATTATTGATTGATTGTGTGATGCGATATGCGATATGCGATATGCGATTGATATTGATCTTGATCTTGATACAGACTGTGTTGTTGGATGAGATTGATGGGCCTGGGATGGAGGAGTTGTTCCGAACGCCTCCCGTCGACATTTCACGTGGACCGTAGGTACAGTGTGCTAGGTACTGTATTCTAGCGAGGGAGATTGGCTACCAGCAAGAGCCCCCCACATCAGTGCGACCTGCCTGTAGTGTCAAGATCCGGGTCGAGGTCAAGCCCGCGGCTGCCTCGCAGGTGCACGGTACGAACACTGTAGGTACACTTACCTGAGACGGTACTTGCCTGGACTTTACGCCCTTCCGGAACCGCCCAGTCTCGTCCAGTCTCGTCCAGTCTTCCCCCGGTTTCTTGCTAAGAGCACACACATCGCATTCGCATCTCATCTCATCTCATCTATCTCATCTCATATCCCTCCCCCCCCAACCTACACCAAGCATCTTACCTTTCTCGGCGCCCAGCCTCAATCGTGTCCTTCTGCCCTTCACCTCAAACTACCTACGCTACGTCAAATTGGTAGTGCGACCGCGCAATTACGACGCATACTCCGGTAATTTGTATGATTGCGTCTGTGGTGTTCCTAAGCAACATAGGGTAGGCGAGAGCAACACGCGAAAGGGAGGCAAAAAGAGACATACCTAGCGCGCAAGCGTTGCGGGCCGTCCTTCAACTTTGAAAATATCGGCCTTCTCCCGCGCAGTTAAAACTAAGTGGTACGTCGCGAATCCATTGAGGTTACGCGCCTACCAAAAGCCCTTCGAGGGGCTATCGTTCGTTTCTATGGCGAATATTTCCCGATAACATATCCTTGCTCAATTGTCCCGTGGATCTGCGCTTGGCCTGCCGTCGTCTGAGGCTGCGTTAGAGTTGCTTGGCTCAGCTTTGACCCATACATATTACGGCTTCCCTTTGACCTTGGCGTCGAATATGTCGACCGCTTGCGCACCGATAGTACTCGCGGCGAGCGGCATCTTGTCCATTGGAGGCGGTACGTCGACATCCTTAGCCGCCGATGCTGTCTATTGGCCCCCTTGTCCCGTTGCCCCGGCGCCCGCTATTCACCATCGTTCGCTCATCGTCACGGGTGGCGTAAGCACGGATGAGACGTGGTCAGATTCACCTCAATTTTCCGACCTGCGAGACCCTTTCTATGCTACCATCTTTCCACAATGCTATGCCCTGGCTGCCACCACTGTTCTTGCGTATATGCTCCTAGCCATGCTGGTAATTGCACCAAGATCGTTCCTGGACGGCGGTGTCGCTACTCTAGGACAAAGCGGTTTCACTAACGGGAACTCCAACGGCATTAATATCGGGGGCCGACCGTGGCTTCAGAAAGTCGCTGCGCTACTTGTCGCCGTATCACTTACTATCGCGACGGCCGATACGTTTCGCGTGGCCGAGGAACAGTATATGGCGGGCTATCAGGACGCCCACAAACTACAACAGCGTGTCCTAGGCGGAACGCAACTAAAGACTATCCAGCTGATATCAGATACCTTTCTCTGGCTGGCGCAAGCGCAGACCCTTATCCGCCTATTTCCACGTCAGCGTGAGAAGGTCATTATCAAATGGACTGCCTTTGCCCTGATCACACTCGATGTTATCTTTGGTGCCCTCAATAGCTTTCGATACACGGCTGGTTCTAGCTTGAAGCCTCGGCAGTTCACTGAGGCTATCCCTGCTCTCAGCTACTTATTCCAACTATCGCTCGGTTTCCTATATGCTGCCTGGGTTCTATATTATGCGTTGACC